AGAGAGAGAGAGAGAGAGAGAGAGATCTTACACGTATACGAGGAATTGCAGTCCCAATATGGAAAAAACTGTAAGAAAATAAAGAAGAAAAACAAATATCAATTTAAAAATAACCCATTAATGTACTAATAAAGTTTCAGATTAAGAAATCAAGTGAAAAAGTCTCACTAAATCCGAGAAATGCCAACAGAAGCATCACAGCTGCGACAATGATCAGAATTAATCGCCTGCATTAAATGAAGCATATTATATCATGTGCGCACACTGCAATTAGAAGATTAAAGACATACCTTCACAGGAATGCATTATAATATGAGAAAACTTACACAGTGTTCAGCACATGTCTAATATTTTTAGAATTTTTAGACGCCCGTCTATCCAGATCATTTGCAGATGTATTAACTTTAGTCACAATGTCATCAATCCTACTTTGTACATCAGTTGGAATAAGCATATTAGTCACTTGTATCCTCTTAGCAGCCGACAAATTGCCAGAAAATCCCCTAAGGTTTTCCACAGTAAAATTTGCCTGGTTAACAACATAATCTAACGTATCCGAGCTGCTTTTGTGAAATTTTTGCTGTCCATAGTAAAGAAGAACACATCCAACACTGAAAGCATACAACATAATCAATATCAATATAATCATGAGAAATAAGGTAAAAACACAAATCCAGAATCCAATTTGAGATATGGTTGAGAACTTCATACATAGCTGCCAAGGTGAAGAGGATGAGCAATGACAGAGAGATGGCATAAGCTGATAAAGAATGGGGGTGTAAAGGACGATGACAGCAACAGTAACAGCAGGCGCTAATGATCAAAATCAATCCAAAGATCACGAACCACACAAGGGCAATACCGAACAGAGGAGCAGCAGTGAAACCAACAGACTGCAAATTGAATTGAAAAGGTTACTGAAGTTACAGAAAAATAAGCCGAAAGATATTAAAACTCCTCATGGATGCGATGGAAAATCTCACAGCCCAGTAATGTCGATTGCTGATATTCCATCCTCCAGTGTAATGTTTGAAGTCGTTCAGAGGATCTCTCCTCTCTGTTCTCTCCGAAGCCAGGATGAAAGAGGAGTTGTTAATGGAATTGCCAGAAAGGGCAGTTGGCCCCTCTGCAGCCGACCTCCTGAAGGGAAACAAGACATGTCCTCCTCTTCCTGCAGAAATCCGGTAATAAAGCTTGCAAAAACCCAATCTTTATATCGCGAAAAGCA